AATCATGGATACTTCAGTTTTAAGCAGAAGTATAGGTTTGAAGCTCAGTTCCGCTCAGTGCACTTATATATAAGTTTAAAGAGTAATGATTTATATGCTAGTAGGAGAGATAGCTAGACCCACGATTACCAGTGTTGTCAATGCAGAGGGACTTAAGCACAGTTTGTGTTTAGAAATGTTTTGTGTATATTTAGGTCTGTGGTCAGGGAAAGAGAATATATAATAGATTTTTTTATTGTTGGAAGAATGAACAAGTTCATGAAATATTACCATGAGTATAGACTTGTTTTTCATAGCTACTCCTTCAGTTGGAAAAATATTTGGTTGAAAAAATGTGTTTCCGTGTGTTAGAGCAGATAAGCATTGCAAGTTTTTGTGGAACCTGAAGTGAAGCCATTTCCTAATTATTTTACGGTACGCAACTCACAAGTAGGACTTAAATAGAATTATTTTCTTATTGTGTAACTGTTTCCCTCCAAGTTGTATTAGGTTAGAGCAGAATCTTAGTCCATGAGTAATCCCTATGAAATCAGTGGGACTTCTCATTGACCATACAGAGGCAAGGTAAGTGCGTGGTCCGTTCCATCTCTGAAGGCCGTGGCAGTACAATGTTTAGGTTTCTCAGACTGAGCGCTGTATAGAGGAAAGTAAGTAGGATGGTCTTGGGATTTGAGAACAAAACATGATATATGATCTGATGTCAGTTCCCACTTTTGGCTGTGCTGTATATGACCTTTGGAAATCCCTTAACTGCTCATCTCCTCTGTTTCTCTTCTGCATCAAGACAACAATAACTCCTTGAAGGATTGCTTAGAGACATAATACATTGTTTCTTGTCATCAACAGTCAAATTCTCTGCTGTACAGAGGACATAGTACCTTGGTTAAACGGGTCATGAGCCTTGAGATTACCCTTTTCACAAGAGCGAGTTTCATCCTGAAATGGTGGTGATATCAGATGCAGTCCAGTCCAGAACTGCTGACTATTATTATGATGGCATTGGCCATAAAAGCTACAGCCTCAATCCTGCTATTGTTCCCAGACTTCTGTGCCCATACAGAGGCTGTTGAGATCACTTGGAAGTCTGCACACATGCAGGGTTCCTCCCACACAAATGGAATTGGGCTGCAGGTATATTTATAGATTCGTGTATAGCCGAATAAAGCTTCTCCCTTCCCCTTCAAGTACTTTTAATATGTCAGTTGTATCAGCTGGTTAAAGTTCTAGGACAATAAATCCTTTCTCAAAATGCAGGGTTTCCAGTTACCGTTGTGGTGCATTCTTATCTTGAAATGCACAGTCTTCTTTGAATTCATAGGAATGGTTCATAATTGTTCAGCCTGCTCAGGTACAAAAGTGACAGGCACCTTGGCTGGATCACAGAAATGATATAAGACGACATGTAAAGGAGGTCTATTTCACATACTTTTAAAATAAATTAATGTGGAGTTAGATTTTGTTTTGCACAGTACATTAACAGTGTGAGAGGACCAGTGTCCTCATTTTTCAGTTTGCTGTCTTTTTTTTTTTTTTTTTAATTCCTCCTAGAAGCACACTGGATAAGATAACATTAGTACACAATTATGGATTGGGGGGCTGGATGAAGCAGTGATTTGTAATTTTCTTTAAATTGGCTGACATCTGCAAGAGTTAGATAAATGGGATAGGAATTAAGTCTTAACATGGTAATATTTAACAGGATGATATTAAAGGATTTCAATTTATATGGCTAAAAAAGGATAAAGTGGTGATGGCACACCAGCTCGTGAACTGCAAAGGGAACTGAAAAGTTATTCGAACTGCGTGCTTTGTTCAAAGGGAGCGTGTAAGTTTTGTAACCTTTCCATTTTCTCAGTAGTGGTACTCAGCTACCAGACAGTTTATGTAGCAAAGCAGGGTCAACATTTCTGCACCAGTTCCAGGTTGGTTGTTTGTTTTGGGTTTTTTTTAAAGGCCAGTGGAAACTTGATGGTTTGGTTCAATCTTAGTGGACAGAACTGAAGGCAGCCTGTCAAGGTCTGTGAAACTCTAATTTAATTCTTCAAATGAAAACCCAGATTAGGATTGAACTACTTTAGTTTTTGTCTTGTTTGCAAGGAAGAATTTTGGAAATTCAGAGCTAAATCTTGGAGCTTTTACTTAAGTAAAAACTCTGCTGAAATTTTACGTGAGGAAAAACTCCAACATTCAGCTTTCTTATTGTCTCTGTATCAGTCCAAAGATAGTGCCTTCTACACAATGACCAACGAGATTTATTATTTTATTTTTATTTTTGTAGAGAATTGAAATTATAGAAGACCAAGTGTAATAAGTAAGGTTCAATTTATGTTGAAAGCTTTGTTGGTCTGTAGTTGGAGCTCTTTTATCTCATTAAAAAAATTCTCTTTGGCTGCAGCTCCTGTAGTTAGGCTGTACACTCAGGTCATTTTGAATCCATGCCAGTTTTACAGACTGTCTGAAAGCAGTAGATTCTCATTGAAGGTTAAGTATTTATCCCTTAAATCATTCTCCACTTACAGTCCTTATCAGATTCCTTCTTTTCTGACACAAGAGGGATAAATCTATGTAAAGTTGCTGTTAAGGAGCACATAAAGTGGAAGTGTTCTTTATGCACATTGCTGAGATCAGATTTTTGATTACTTCATCTCCATGTTCAGATTAATTTAGGATGAAGTTTCTTTTAAGGAAAGCTTAGAATCGTAGAACTAGGACACCTTTTTTTCTAATTGCATCAATATGCAATTAGTATCAGTATACTTTTTCTTTGCCAGGAAAATATTGCAGCTAATGATTACTAGCTTTTTTCTTTTAGAAGTAAAAAAGCTAGAATACACGTACTGCATCATGAATAATGAGTGAACACTGAAATTTTTTTTGTACATTAGTAACATTAACATTGGTTTAAAATGAACACTGCCACTCTTTTTAATTTAGCTCAGCACGTCTTTTTATGTTGCTTAACTATAGAGGCAGATGCTGCTGTTAGTTTTAAAATAAATTACATGAACTTGTAGTTTCTAATATTTTAACCAGGACATGACATAGTATTTTTGTTGATACTCACCGGTAGTAGAGAGGCTTGAAAAATCTAATTCATGCTTTCTCAGCAAGATTGCCCTCTTGCTTTGACTATCTCTGCTGGCACAGATACAAATTGTTAACGCCAGGAAGTGAACTGAATTACTTAAATTCTTGGTTGTGGTCCACTGTACAGAACACTATTGTTCATTTCACTGGCACAGGTGCTGGGATGTGAATGACTTTAAATATTGATTGAAGTAATGTGTTAAGGTGACTATTGTTGATAAACAGCAAATGGGAAGCTGAGATACTTGGTAAAATTTATACATAGAAATAGGATTAGTGGGTTAAGTACTTTCTTAGAAAAGACATCATTAAAAGAGGAATTATGTAAACTGTAACTAACATTTATGTCTCTTTACAGTTGATAAAAAAGAGGCACTTGGGCAGCTCTTATTAAAATATTACAAACAAGTATTTTTCATGTTTTTAATGGGAATGTATTTTATCAATACAGTTTCAAATGTATCTCTGTATTTTTGGTCTGCTAAATTCTATTTCCCAGCTTTTTAGGGCCAAATTCCCCCCCACTGGCACACACATCCATCTCCTGTGCAAGTCAAAGATGCTGTAGGGTAGACTCTTGCTCTGAGTAAGACATGAGACTTAATCTGAAAGAAAGCATGTCATCGCTGCGTTTTGGGGCTTGTTGCTCGGGTTTCATGAAAGAGCTGTTTGAGCTGGTATTGGCAAAGAAATATTCTTTACAGCTTTTTTAAATATATTTGCAGTGAAATCAAGTCGTTGATATTTGGATTAAGAATTTTTTTTCACGTATCTTTCCTACTTAACTTTACTTATTTAAAAGTTGTTTGTAAAGACGTACTACGATTCTTATGCAGGTCTTCTCTTCCATCACAACTCAATGGGCTTGGCTTAGGACATTTCTATGACAATAGGAACTGAAAATAATGACTGCTCTTTGGAGTCTTTCATCAAGGGCAGACCAGTTCTATACCTGTTTCAGACTGTGCCCCAAAACCTTCATATAAGGCATCTTGTTAACTTCAGCAGGCTTCAGATGGGCCCGCAGAACACAGGTCTGTGATGTGCATACAGTGTTTTGCTGCTCTTTAACAGAACTGCAGCCGTTCTCTTACATTTAAAATAATACGCAACTGTGGAGGTGGAGGAAGGATTTACTGCTAATAATCTAAAACTATTTGGAACCAAATTTTTCCCTTGTTAAAGTCAATGACAAAATTCCCATTGACTTCAGCTAAGGTAGGATAGGACACTAAATAGCAGATCATGCTTGTTAGCCCATTCTTAGTATGTCCCATTGTGCTTAAACTCTGTTCTGAAAGTCTGAAAGTAATGTAATGTAGCAGTAGCTAGCACGTACTGCAATACAGAGACATAATTAAGGCAGGAGTGTCAAATGCAAGTGGCCCCATGGGCTGGATGAAGCACATGGGGCCAGTCTGTGAGCTGGATCCTGCCCATAGGCCTGGTATGGGTACTTGTAAACTGACTCTGTGTGTTTTTTGCAGTTTGTGCAGTTGCTCCAACCCTGTTTGCCATATGCAGCATGCTCTAGCTCCAGCCCTGTGCAGGGCATGCAGTGCATACGGGGCCCATGCCAGACTGACCCTGCTTACTGGATCTTGCACACAGCTGGTCTGTGGGTCGGATCCAGTGTACAGGGCTCTCTGATGCAAGCACCACATACAGTGCATGCCCTAGCATGGCCCTGTGTGCTGCATGCAGCACGAGCTAGCTGTCAACACGCAGAGCACAGGGCCAGTATGGGGTATGCACTACATGTAGCGCCTGTGCCAGACTGACCCACCAAAGTGGATCTAGCACGGAGGGCCCAACTATGGGCCTGATCCAGACCAGCCCCGGATCCAATGTGCAAGGCTGGACCAGCGTGGGTGCTGCATGCAGCCAACACCCCAGACCATCCTTTCCCTGGTTGCAGCCTGCGTCACATGGGCTGCATCCAGTAGACAAGACAGCAATGAAATAAGCCTGTAGTAAGAGTTGAATCCTTAATATGTCCTTGCCTTATTTTTTTTGTTTTGAAATAGGATATTTGCACCTGCAGAAGTGCTTGCATACCTGTTTTTTGTGTACACTGAAGAGTTGGCTCAGTCAGGTATATGTGCAATAGTAGGTGCAGAAATGGCAATAAATCGTGACATAACAATGGTCTTTGTTATTGTCTTCATGCACCGAACCTGAGAACAGAAGCAAATCTGGATTTAGGTTCATTAATAGAACCAGTGCAGGGAAAGTTGCCCAATTCCTGCATGACTGAGCAGGCATAAATAACTC